TTAAATACTGGAATTGCTGGATTGATTGCCATTCCTGTTTTGAGTGTCCTTTTTTTTTTTTTTTTTTTTTTTTTTTTTTTTTTTTTTTTAAGACAGGGTCTCACTCTGTTGCCCAGGCTGGAGAGCAATGACGTGATCACAGCTCACTGCGGCCTCAACCTCCTGAGATCAAGTGATCCTCCCACCTCAGTCTTCTGAGTAGCTGGGACTACAGGCACACACTACTATGCTCAGCTAATTTTTTTGTTGTTTTCGTAGAGATGAGGTTTCACCATGTTGCCCAAGCTGCTCTTGAACTCCTAGACTCAAGCGATCCACCCATCTCGGTCTCAAAAATGCTGAAGGCCAGGTGTGTGGCTCACAGCTGTAATCCCAGAACTTTGGGTGTCTGAGGAGGGTGGATCACCTGAGGTCAGGAGCTCAATACCAGACTGGCCAACATGGTGAAACCCTGTCTATACTAAAAATAAAATAAAATAAATTAGCTAGGCGTGGTGGCATGTACCTGTAGTCCCAACTACTCAGGAGGCTGAGGCAGGAGAACTGCTTCAACCTGGGAGGCAGAGGTTGTAGTGAGCCAAGATGGTGTCACTGTACTCCAGTCTGGGTGACAGAGTGAGATTTTGTCTCAAAAAAAAAAAAAAAAAAGTTGGGATTATAGGTGTGAGCCACTGCACCCAGCCTGTTTTCCTTCTTCATGTCTGGCCGCTGAGGCTGCAATCTAGCGTTTCTTTAGCCTCAGTTGTCTGGTGTTGGATTAGGTTCTGGAAGGTTCATATAACTATTAATAGCAATGTTTTTTTCCTTCCAGAGACATATTTATTCCTCATGAAAAAATACAGAACTAGTCACTAAATAAGTTAAAATCTTGAAAGAATTTTGAATAAGAGATTTCCCATAAAAAATGTTTACTTTTAACCTTTTTTCTTTTGTTGTTGTTGAATTAGCTATTTTTAAACCACTATCAGTTTGTTAGCATGTTACAATTAATAAAAGAATTTCCATGCAAAATATTTTAATAGGTTGTCAAATATACAATTATTATAATTATGTATCACTTATAAAAATTGGTACACCACATTAGATGATTCTATAAAATAAAAGCACGAATCACACATTGACAATAACCCCTGCAGTCCAAGAATACCCTGCCAAGAGTACAAATTACAAATACATTTTTTAAAACTCTGATATGGTTTGGCTCTGTGTCCTCACCCAAATCTCATCTCCAAATGTAATCCATACAATCCCCCACGTGTTGAAGGCAGGACCTAGGGGGAGGTGATTAGATTACAGGGGCGGTTTCCCCTATACTGTTCTCATGATTGAGTGAGTTTTCACAAGATCTGATGGTTTTATAAGGGGCTCTTTCCTTTAGCTGGTTCACTCTCTCTCGTCTGCCACCACATATAATGTGCCTCTTCTCCTTCCACCATGACTGTAAGTTTCCTGAGGCCTCCCCAGCCCTGTGGAAGTGTGAATCAATTCAATCACTTTTCTTTATAAATTACCCAGTTTGGGGTCTTTATAGCCATGTGAAAACTAATACCCTAAAGACACATGCATTTAATTTCTTTTTTTAAAAAAGATAGGGTTTCACCATGTTGGTCAGGCTAGTCTTGAACTCCCGACCTCAGGTGATCCGCCCACTTTGACCTCCAAAGTGCTTGGATTACAGGCGTGAGCCAACATGCCCAGCCGACACATGCATTTAAACCAAAGTAACTGTGACTAGACTAAATACATTCATTCATCAAGTGCAATAAATTTAGCACTGCTGCTTATAGTCACTAATAACACAACTGTAGGTTCAATTTCACATGTTTTCATAAACCTTCCAGTACAGTTCCCATGGCAAAGTGTCATTGTGCATGCCATTTTCATTTATATGTAGGTGTATCATACATCATACTTAAGACTATTTCACTTCACAAAGTGTTTATATATAAGTGAACAGTGAGTAAAAAAATTAACCTCAATAATGACAAAATTTAAAAATTAAAGAAAATTCCTGAAAGCATATGCCAATTTGTTTAATTGCATATATAATATTTTCACTTAGCAGAAGCTATTAGACTAAGCAATGGGAATTTAAATATTAAAAAAAAATAGAGGCTCCAAACTGTCCTAAAATATTAACAAGTTTTTAAAGTAAAAATATAATCACTCTATAAGTCAAAACTCACTTTCTACTCATGACCAAATTTTTTTTTTTTTTTTTTTTTTTTTGAGACGGAGTTTCGCTCTTGTTACCCAGGCTGGAGTGCAATGGCACGATCTCGGCTCACCGCAACCTCCGCCTCCTGGGTTCAGGCAATTCTCCTGCCTCAGCCTCCTGAGTAGCTGGGATTACAGGCACGCGCCACCTTGCCCAGCTAATGTTTTGTATTTTTAGTAGAGACGGGGTTTCACCATGTTGACCAGGATGGTCTCGATCTCTTGACCTCGTGATCCACCCGCCTCGGCCTCCCACAGTGCTGGGATTACAGGCTTGAGCCACCGTGCCCGGCCATGACCAAATTTAAAATATCAGTGATTTGAAGAGCAGATTGAGGCCTAAAATCATGTTAAATTGTAAAATACAGGAAAGAGTATGCAGCTAATTTGCTTGTGATTATGTAAGGGAATGGCTTTCACAGAGTTGTTGTGTTAAACACTACTTTTATTTTTATTTATTTATGTATTTATTTAGTTGAAACAGAGTCTCACTCTCTCACCCAGGCTGAAGTGCAGTGGCACAATCTCAGCTCACTGCAACCTCAGCCTCCCTGGTTCAAGTGATTCTCCTGCCTCACCTCCTGAGTAGCTGGGACTACAGGCGCCTGCCACTACACCCGGTTAAATTTTGTATTTTTGGTAGAGACTGGGTTTCACCATGTTGGCCAGGCTGGTCTCAAACTCCTGACCTCAAGTGATCTGCCCACCTCAGCTTCCCAAAGTCCTGGGATTACAGGTGTGAGCCACCACACCCAGCCATGTTAAATGCTACTTTAAATGAAGAGTCTAGGGCCGGGCACGGTGGCTCACACCTGTAATCCCAACACTTTGAGAGGCTGAGGCAGGCGGATCACAAGGTCACAAGATTGAAACCATCCTGGCCAATGTGGTGAAACCCCGTCCCTAAAAATACAAAATTAGCTGGGTGTGGTGGCACGCGCCTGTAGTCCCAGCTACTCAGGAGGTTGAGGCAGGAGAATCACTTGAACCAGGGAGGCGGAGGTTGCAGTGAGCCAAGATCACGCCACTGCACTCCAGTCTGGCAACAAAGCGAGACTCCATCTAAAAAAAAAAAAGAAGAAGAGTCTAAATAAACATACCTTTACCAGCAAGGAAAGTGAAAAATTAAGGCTTTTTTACACTACCTATAACTTAAATACTACCCAAACCTAAAAGTCAAATAGAGGTTACAAGGCTGCAAAATACTACTACTGATATCTCTACCATATTGTTAGTTGCTTCATCTCACCTCCATACTTATGTTACTTAGATGCATATTTTTCTATATCTCTCTTAATTAAGCCTCCAGTCCCACCCCAACTAGATAGAATGCTGAAAATGGTCAGGGCCTTATCTGATTGGTTCACAACTGTATACTGGGGAGATAAAAATGCTTGGCACATGCTGTAAATTAAAATATTTTTAAATGAACTAAGAAGCCTGGTCTTCAAAGACAACCCAACTTGTTTTCCCAAAGCATTAATAGATTATTGTTACCTCTTTAGATAACCAGATTGACAATTATTATTATTATTATTATTATTATTATTGTAAGACGCAGTCTCAATCTGTCACCCAGGCTGGAGTGCAGTGGCACAATCTTGGCTCAACCTCTGCCTCCTGGGTTCAAGCGATTCTCCTGCCTCAGCCTCCCAAGTAGCTGGGATTACAGGCATGCACCGCTGTGCCCAGCTAATTTTTGTATTTTTAGTAGAGACGGGGTTTTGCCATGTTGGCCAGGCTGGTCTCAAACTCCTAACCTCAGGTGATCCACCCATCTTGGCCTTCCAAAGTGTTAGGCATGAGCCACCACATCCAGCCAAAAGTAAAGTTTTTAAAAAAGTATCCCTTAGTGCAACACCCCAAATTTTTATATAGTTGATTAGACTAAATTGTTGATTTTACTTTTTTTTTTTTTTTTAGATATAGTCTCACTCTGTTGCCCAGGCTGAAGTACAGTAGCACGATCTCAGCTCATTACACCCCCTCCACCTCTCAGGTTCAAGTAATTCTCCTGTCTGAGCCTCCTGAGTGGCTGAGACTACAGGTGCCTACCACTATGCCCGGCTATTTTTTTTATTTTTAGTAGAGACAGGGTTTCACCATATTGGTCAGGTGGTCTCAAATTCCTGACCTCAGGTGATCCACCTGCCTCAGCCTTCCAAAGTGCTGGGATTACGGTGTGAGTAACCCTGCCCAGACTGATTTTACTTTTTTATTTATAGCTAAACCATTTATAAGAATGGTGAAAGAAATGAAACTTTATCAAGACAACTTAGATATAATTAAACAGAAGATGTGCTTTTTGTAAGATAAACTTCATTTTGTTAACTTTGCCTAAATTATCAAAACATTAACAGCTCTCATTTCACCTTACTTTTTTTTTTTTTTTTTTTGAGACGGAATCTCACTCTGTCACCCAGGCTGGAGTGCAGTGTCGTAACCTCGGCTCATTGCAACCTCCACCTCCCAGGTTCAAGCAATTTTCCTGCCTCAGCCTCCCAAGTAGCTGAGATTATAGGCATATGCCACCACACCCAGCTAATTTTTGTATTTGTAGAAGAGACAGGTTTTCTCCATGTTGGCCAGACTGCTCTCAAACTCTTGACCTCAAGTGATCTGCCTGCCTCTGCCTCCCAAAGTGCTGGGATTACAGGCATGAACCACCACACCCGCCCATTTCACCTTTTTATGGACTTTTACATTGATTTGGGGATGAGGTAATTGATATCATTTGAAAAGTTTGTTTTTTCTTATCTTTTTTTTTTTCTTTTTTGAGACAGGCACATGCCACTGCCCCAGGCTGGAGACCTCTTGATAGAGGAAATCTGAAAGACAGAATAAAGAAAAGCAAATAAATAAATAAATAAAAGCTTGTGACTGGTGATTACCCTGAATATCATGGGGACAAAAAGTTTCTTATAGATGTAGTTTTTAAAAATCTACATATTAACTGAATGTTGGCATCTTCTTGGTCTTTTCTAAAAAATGCAAGGAGGGTTAAATAACTGCCATTCTCAAGATTTGTAGCTTGCTCGCCCTCGATACTTGTGTGGTTGAGTGTGCCTGGCTTTGCATCGGGGAGGAGGGCAGGCCATATACAGCTGGAGAGGCCCGTGGCATGGTGCAGCCTTTGCTTACAAGACTCTACTTCCAGTGCCCTCTCTACAGACTTGCCTTGGCCTCATAGGGCCATGCTGCCAAGGCCAAGGGAGAGGTCAGGCTCCTTCAGCGGCTGCAGGACCGCCTGGTGGTTTGACAGGGAGTCACCAGAATAACTTTCTTGCTTCTTTTTTGAACAAAATCAGAGTATTATTTATACAGGCAAACATACACAGACAGTATTATTGGCAATAGACATGGCTGATTCATATTTGAATTTTGAAACAAACTCTTTAAAAAAAATCTATCTGTATTTTTTCTTAACTTTTATTTTAAGTTCTAGGGTACAAGTACATGGTGTGCAGATTTGTTACATGAGCTTTGCGTCTTAAACTATGAAGTGTATTGGCGCCTATGCTGAGGTTTGATCTAAGCTCTCCTTGGCTAGGAAACTCAGCATGTTGGTTACTAGGAAAAATCAAACAATAAAACGCCCTGTGTCTCATCATAGCAGCAGGTGTGCTCTGCCTGGAGCAAACCTACTGGACATGACTACAATGTGCTACAAAGCGTGAGATGGCATTTTCTGTGCAGGATGTACGTTTTCCAGGGTCCAGACATGAAAGAAAGCAAATCAGTACTTTGACGGCCCCACCTCTTCCAGCACCATCCCTGGGAGTGAGTCTCATGAGAGGGATGGGGGAAGTGGAGGGAGAACAGCTCCTCCAAGGCCTCTCCCAGGGTGACTGGGGCTCCAGATATATCTCAGTACAGACCCTGGATCCAGCCCTCATGGCCAAGTTCGATTTACTATGGGCTGGGATGGGACAGAGAGCTTTTTAAACTTAAAAAAAAAAAGAAGAAAGAAAGCATAATTACATACAAAATGCACAGATCTAAGTGTACAGTTTAAGTTTTAACAAACCTCTAAGCCTATGTAACCAGCACCACAGTCATTATAGAGTATTTCTGCCCCCTAGAAAGTTCCCTCTTGTCTCTTTTTAGAATCCCTCCTTTCCAGACCCTCCTCTCATACCCAAGCAACAACTCTTTGATTGCCACCAACAGGGACGCTTGTTGTGTTTTGTTTTTGAGACGGAGTTTAAGCTCTTGATGCCCAGGCTGGAGTGCAATGGTGCAATCTCGGCTCACCACAACCTCCGCCTCGCAGGTTCAAGCAATTCTCCTGCCTCAGCCTCCAGAGGAGCTGGGATTACAGGCATGTGCCATCACGCCCAACTAATTTTGTATTTTTAGTAGGGACGGGGTTTCTCCATGTTGGTCAGGCTAGTTTCAAAATCCCAACCTCAGGTGATTGGCCCACCTCGGCCTCCCAAAGTGCTGGGATTATAGGCAGGAGTCACCATGCCTGGCTGAAAGGTTTTACTTAAAGGAGAAATAGGAAAAAACTGAGTTCTGTATAAAATAAAAGATCTCTAAGTGGTAAACAGGTTATTTGATGATGTAAAGTTGTTTAGTGAGAAGAAAGAAAAAGACTTTTAGAAGTAAAGTCAGGGCTGGACGCAGTGGCTCACACCTGTAATCCTAGCACTTTGGGAGGCTGAGTCAGCGAGATCACCTGAAGTCAGAAGTTCAAGACCAGCCTGACCAACAAAGTGAAACCCTGTCTCTACTAAAAAAAAAAAAAAAAAAAATACAAAAATTAGCTGGTGTGGTAGTACATGCCTGTGATTCCAGCTATTCGGGAGGCTGCAGCAGGACATTGGCTTGAACTTGGGAGGTGGAGGTGGCAGTGACCCAAGATTAAGCCACCACACTCCAGCCTGAATGATAGAGACTCTGTCTCAAGAAAAAAAGAAAAGGAATGCCAAATTGCATTCATGGCATACTGTGACTGCCTGTCTATCTGTAACTTGAACTGTGTGAGGGTTGGGGATCTGGGAGATGAGCAGGGCCCAGGCCAAACACAGCTCTGCAGCTACAGCCTTGCTTTCCAGAGTACAGTTAGGAAGAGGCACACCAAGGCAGGGATGACTGAAGGAAAATGAAAGAGTGAGAGAGAAAAATTGCTTTGTTTTGGTTTTGTTTTTGTTTTGAGACAGCGTATTGCTCTGTGGCCCAGGCTGAAGTGCAGTGGCTCCATCACGGCTCACTGCAACCTGAACTTCCTGAGCTCAAGTGATCTTCCTGCCTCAGCTGTCCAAGCGGCTTGGACAATAGGCATGTGCCATCATGCCTGGCTAATTTTTTTTTACTATTTTACGGGGTCTCACTATGTCGCTCAGACTAGTCTCAAACTCCTGTGTGCAAGCGACCCTCTTACCTCAGTCGCCCGAGTAGCTGGAACTACAGGTACAAGTCACTGCACTCAGTTCTCAGCATCATGTTTAATCCTTAAAGTGCAAGCCTAGCTGTCCCCAGCACAGCAGTGCCTCTCCATTTTTCACTGATGATAGTTATAATTACTAGAATAGCTTCATATCTGCATAAGGATGTACAGGTCGTGAACATTCTTTTTTTTTTTTTTTTTTTCTGAGATGGGGTTTCACTCTTGTTGCCCAGGCTGGAGTGCGATGGCGCGATCTCAGCTCACCACAACCTCCGCCTCCTGGGTTCAAGCAGTTCTCCTGCCTCAGCCTCAGAAGTAACTGGGATTACAGGCATGCGCCACCACGCCCAGCTAATTTTGTATTTTTAGTAGAGACAGGGTTTCACCATGTTGGTCAGGATTGCCTCGATCTCCTGACCTCATGATCCACCTGCCTCAGCCTCCCAAAGTGCTGGGATTAAAGGTGTGAGCCACCATGCCCGGCCTGGTCATGAACATGCTGAAATACATCCTTCTCACTTTCTCCTCATCCTCATACCCTTGGGAAGGAAGGAAAATAACATTTCAATGAACTTGTCTTGTATGAGAAAACCAGAGCTCAGAGGCTGAGTAAATCCAAGATCTCAGGAATAAGGAGGCAAAGTCAAGCTGAAAAAGTCTAACCCTGAATCTGGTGTTATTTCCAACACATGACCCTAAAAAAACACCACTAGAAAGCTTTAAGTCAGCAGAAACAACATTCAAGTCCCTCAGCTACACAACTGTGGCCACACTGACACTCATGCAGGCAGCTGATATTTACCAGTAGAAAGCTAGGCTGCAGCAGGTGAGGAAACACCATAGCAGCCTCCAATGGAGAGTCAAAACTGACCTTCTTAGTAATCCACTGTGGAAAAACAAAGATGAAATGTCAACATTTACAACACAACAGAATCTTTTTATTTTTCAGAGACAAGGTCAACTTCAAACTCCTGGCTCAAGCAATCCTCCCACCACAGCCTCCTGAGCAGCTAGGACTGCAAGTATACACCAACACACCCAGCTAATTTTCTGATTTTGTAGAGATGGGGTCTCACTATGTTGCCCAGGCTAGAATTCCTGGCCTCAGGCAGTCCTCCCACCTCAGCCTCCCAAAGTGCTGAGAGTACAGGTGTAAGCCACGATACCTGGTCCTAACAAAAATTATATAGTTTCACAATGCCCAGGAAAACATTTGTGTAACTCAGCACACGTACTACACTGCCAATTCCCATGTTTTATTTATTTTTTTAGATACAGAGTCTTGCTCTGTTACCCAGGCTAGAATGCAGTGGCATGATCACAGCTCACTGCGACTTCAAACTCCTGGGTTCACATGATCTTCCTGCCTTAGCCTCCCAAGCAGCTGCAATGCAATGCAATGGCATGATCATGGCTCACTGTGGCCTCAACCTGGGCTGATGCAATCCCCCCACCTTAGCCTCCTTAGTAGCTGGGACTACAGATACATGCCACCATGCCCAGCTAAGAGAGAGAGAGACAGAGAGAGAGAGAGAGTGTGTGTGTGTGTGTAGAGATGAGGTCTTGCTGTGTTGGCTAGGCTGGTCTTCAACTCCTAGGCTCAAGCAATCCTCCCATGTCAGCCTCCCAAAGTGCTAGGATTGCAGGCATGAGTTACTGTGCCTGACCGGCAATTCCCATGTTTTATAGAAACACCATTCTCATGCAGCCCACAGTGGCCAGCTTCAGAGCCAAGTTTGTGGTGGTGAATCCTCAGTAATGCTTGTACAGCACTTGCTGTATGACAGATCTTGCTCTAAGGGCTCTCCATATATTTCCTCATTTCATCCTCAGTGGTAGGCAGAATTCTAAAGATAGCCACCCAAGATTCCTGTCCCCCGGTTGTTCAGTGAAATACTCATCTAGGTACGGCAATGAAGGCATTCTGGAGATACAATTAGAGTCCTAAGTTAGTAGACCTTAAATTACAGAGTAGTCCCCAGCTGACAGCCAGCAAGGAAACAGAGACCTTGGTTCTACAACTCCAAGGAACTCGATTCTGCCAGCAACCTAGCCTTGAAGCAGCTTCTTCCCTAGAGCTTCCAGGTAAAAGCAAAGCTGCCAACACCTTGAGTTCAGCCTTGTGATGTGCAGCTGGGCCTACCTGAACTTCAGACTACATAACGATGCGATAATAAATGGGTACTGGGCCGGGCGCGGTGGCTCAAGCCTGTAATCCCAGCACTTTGGGAGGCCGAGGCGGGTGGATCACGAGGTCAAGAGATCGAGACCATCCTGGTCAACATGGTGAAACCCCGTCTCTACTAAAAAATACAAAAAATTAGCTGGGCATGGTGGTGCATGCCTGTAATCCCGGCTACTCAGGAGGCTGAGGCAGGAGAATTGCCTGAACCCAGGAGGCGGAGGTTGCAGTGAGCCGAGATCGCGCCATTGCACTCTAGCCTGGGTAACATGAGTGAAACTCCGTCTCAAAAATAAATAAATAAATAAATAAATAAATGGGTACTGGTTTAAGCTGCTAAGTTTGTCAAACAAGAATAGAAAAACCATCCTCAAATACAGATGT